GGCCAGATGTCCACACTCCCTTCTAGCTAGGCCACTCTGCCTTGGCCTAGCCTCGCCACCAGGGTTCCCAAGCCGGGCGGCTTCACACTATGGTGTTAACAGTGAGAGCCCACACCTCCCAGGCCTACTCTGGGCCAGGGGGCTGGCTGCCGTCCCGGCCTAACCGGGGCATCTTGTGAAACCCACCCTGTAGTCCCATTGTATTTGTCCCTGTTGGTGGACTGCACTGTGCCTCCCTTCCCCCACTCACACTCCCGAAATTCGTGTTGAAGCCCTAACCCCCAACGTCCTGCTGGCTGGTGCTCCTCCACAGGCTCAGCGCAGGCTCGGGCCCTAGCCGTCCTGGCCCCTGCCCCGGTCACCGTCACGTGAGGTCTGTTGGCTCAGGGGTGGGGGGCTCAGAAGCTCTGCCCTGCCTGCAGCTGCGCCTGCCCCCGCTGCCCCTGTCCCCCCTGCCCCTCCCCAGGCTCCAGCCCGAGACCCCGGTTGTCAGGCCGCCCTGCTCTCCTCTGGCAAGCACACCATCCTCCACGCACTGACACACGCAGCCCTGGAGGTGGGGCTTTTGGGGAGTGATTAGGCTTAGAGTTGTGGGGCCCCATGATGACATTAGTGCCCTTCTAAGAAGAGGAAGAAGCCGACACTTTCTTTCTCTGCCACATGAGGACACAGGTGCCATCTATGAACTAGGAGCCTGGCCTTGTCTGGGAACCGAGTCTGCAGGCACCCTTGATGTCTGGTGTCCCCCTCCAGAACTGTGAGAATGGATGTTTGTGGCTCAAGCTCCCTGCCTGTGGGACTTTGCAATAGCCTGAGCGGACTGATAGAGTCCCTGTTTTACAGAGGAGAAAGGTCTCTGAGCCCCATGGGGGACAGGGAGCCTGCCTGGTGGCAGAACCACATGGCCACCCTGCTCACCTGGCCAGCCAGCTGGGCATTTCCAATGACTCAACAGTGGGCCTTACGGTTGATTGCTTGTGTTGGTAATTTTCTTGCTTTGCTTTAAAATCATTTCCTTTGGCTTTTTGAGGAAATTTTCCATTTGTTCATGTTTTTATAGTCCATTACCTTTTCCTCTTAATAATTCAAAAAAAGGTGTTGTTGTTTTTTTTTTTTTTTAAATTAAGCATGTAGTGTGTGTGCCCTGTGGCAAAGCAAGAAAAGTGGCACGTTAGTCTGCTGGGGCTGCGACAAAGTGCCACCCACAGGGTGCCTTAAACAATAGAGATGTATTGTCTTTCAGGCTGGAGGCTGGAGCCCAAGGTCAAGGTGTGGGCAGGGTGGTTTCTTCTGAGGGTGCGAGGGAGAATCTGTTCCAGATCTCCCTCCTTGCCCCTTCGCCTTCTAAGAGCGCGACTGCCTTCTCCCTGTGTCCACACATCATCTTCTCTCTGTGTGTTCCTCTGTGTCCAAACTTCTTTCCCTTGTCATAGTACAACAGTCACATTGGACTAGGCCCCCACTGATGACCTCCCTTTAACTTGGTTACCTTGTAAATGCAGTCCCAGGTAAAGTCCTGGGATGTAGGCTCTAACGTAGGAGTGTGTGTGTGTGTGTGTGTGTGTGTGTGTAATGTGCTTGTATGTAGCCTCTTATCGTGTGTGTGTGTTGGGGGCTGGGGGGAAACACAATTCAACCCATAAGCACAGGTAAGCCAAAGAAGAAACAAACCAAAGCGCAGCCCTCAGATTTTTTCATTGCTGCATGTGTGTATCTGTTTTTCCTGGCTTCTTTCTTCAAATGCATAACAAAGTGGCAAATGGAGATTTTTGTGTTCACAGCAGCTATATCCCTTCTTTGGGCAAAGCTTTGTGAAGCCTCTGTGACTCAGGGCTGGCATTTGAGGGCTGGCTGGTGGAGGGGGCTCAAGGTCCGGGGGTTTCCATGCTTTCAGCAGCCCAGCTAGACCATCAGCCCGACAGTGGCACAGGTCTGTAGACCAGAGACATCGAGATACAGCATCCCCAGAGAGCCCTTAAGTTGAGAGGGAGGCAGAGAGGGGGGCCGTGTGTGTGACGGGGGCTGGGGGTAGGTCCCCCTTTAGGTCAGGATCTGTACTCTTAGCAAGAGCAGAAAAGAAGCCAGCTCACCCTCGTGAACATTTTCTGCCCCTTGCTGTGCACCCGCCCATCCCTGCGGTCTCTCTTAGTAGGCAGCTGGCTGCTGCTCTTGGACCAAAGCTCCCTCTCCTTGTTCAGACACCCACTGGTCCATGCGTGCCTGCCAGGTGTCTGCCTCCTGCCCAGCTGTGGGCCAGGCTGCCGGCCCCCGGGGGGAAGACCCTGCCGCGGTGCTCTGGGCTGCTGGTGGACACAAGGCTGGCCCCGCAAACAGCTGGAGCTGGAACCCATCAGCTTCCAGGACACCGGCAGCCCTTTACCCATGTTAGAGACTCGGGGTTGCACACTTCCTGTGTGACCCTGGGCAGTCACTGCATGCCCGTGCCTCAGTTTCCTGCTCTGCAAAATGGGAGTGGCAAGAGCATCTGCCTCAGGGTTGCTGGAGGAAGGGATGAGACAGTGTGTGTTCTTTGCACGTGGTCCTCCCCTCAGGCCGGTTCCAGCATTGATCTTCCTCGCCCCCCGCTTCGCCTTCCTAGGGACATCCTAGAGGCCCCGGAGGAGGAAGAGGAGTCCGAGGGTCCCCCCAGGGAGCAGGACCTGAAGGAGGCCTACATCCAGCTGGTCCGAGGCGTGCAGGAGTGGCAGGACGGCTGTGTGTACCAAGGGGACTTCGGGCTGGACATGAAGCTGGGATACGGTGAATTCTCTTGGCCCACGGGCGAGGTAGGTGGCTTCCGCGGCTGTCCCCCGCCAGGGCCTGGCTGTCTCTTTTCTTCTAAGAGGGGTGTGAGGCAGACTTGCCCATCTCCGGCAGGAAGGGTGCTGGGCTTGTGTCTTTTCTACCTTCCAGAGAGAAACCTTCCAGAAACTTCCAGAGAGAAACATTCTCACAGATGTCCAGGGTCACACATGCAGTTGGCCTGGGCGTTCCCGGGCTGCGGCTTGGGAAGGGTTACTTACGATAAATTCTCATTCTGGGCAACTGTTCAAAAACTTCAAATTACTGCATGGAGCTGTATGTACGTCGGTGAAATTGCATCGTATTTAGGGTTAAAGAGAAGGGAAGGATCTTTTTAGCAATCAGATGGGAGCAGGCTCCAGAGCCCACGCAGTAGGCCGCGTCCAGGACCCCAGTGGAGACTCCCGGAGACCCGTGGGAGCTCCGCAGGTGCCTGGGGGAGGGCACAGCGGCCTGGCCTGTGGCAGGACCGCGGCCGACACCTGTAGCCGCGGCTGCCTGCTTGTCCAGTGGGGAGATTTCCAGAGCGTGGGTTCTACTGCGAGCTGGGGAGACGGCCCCGTAGGGTACTTTCGTTCAGATCCAGGCCCAGTGGGGTCCAGGCTCAGAAGAGCAGCCGGGGCTGGGTGTGTCAGTGCGTGGAGGATGGCGTGCTTGCCAGAGGAGAGCAGGGCGGCCTGATAACCGGGGTCTCGGGCCGGAGCCTGGGAGCGGCAGGGGCAGGGGAGGCAGGCGCAGCTGCAGGCAGGGGCGAACCTTCCCCCGCACCCCCGCCGATCCCTCTCCCAGAACGCACCTCAAGCTCAGACGAGCCTCCGGACCTCGGGTGACCGGGAGGCCGGGGCCGAAGCCTGTGTTGAGTGCAAGCCACCGTGACACTGGTGGTTCAAGCGCTGACTCCCGTGGCTCCGGGACTGGCACTGAAACCAGTCCTCGGCTAGTTTCTTTCTTTTACCCAATGCCGTGGTGTCCCGTGCCCTCGTTTGTGGCTGTGGGAGCTTGGGCGTGCCGGCCTGTCCCGCGGAGCCCGGGTTCCACCGTGAGGGAGACCACGGGGGGCGGGTGTGGTGGCGGGGCCTCGGCCTCATTACTGCCTGGCGGGACCTCCGGGTCGGCGGAGCAGCTGCTTGTGCAGTCGAGACAGCTCACAGGCCGGAGAGGCCAGGGGGACGAGAGGGTGTGCCACCCACCAGCGGTGACCCTACACGCGTTAATGGCCCGAGCACATCAGCCCTGGCCGGTCAGACGCAGCTCGTGGTGTGAGTGCCGGGGTGGGGACGGATGGGGTGGCTGTGGAAGGGCCTCCCTCCAATGCTGCTTTCTCCTGGGGTGGGGGGGGAGCAGAGAGCCTTCTCCTGCGTACGGACCGACACTCGTACACAGTTGTTTTCGAGTCGGGTGGACTCCGTTTTCCCCCACAAAGTGGTGCGGGTGTTGGCAGGAGCGGGCAGCCCCTGGCCTCGTGCCCCTCTGCTCCGCGTGTCCTCGTGCTCGACATTCTCTTCAGAAGTGCTGGCGGAGCCCACGTTCAACCCAGGCAGCGCTGAAAAGGGCCTTCGTTGGCTCTTACGATGGGAAAGCCTATCAGCGGGGCTCTGCAGCCCGAGGCCTGGCTGGTCCGGGGACTCTGATGACCTTGTCGGGCCCCCTCTCTCCCCGTCTCTGTGTTGGCGCCCAGACTAACCTTCCGCCATCTGGCGAGCCTGTGGGAGCTACGCCTGACACTTCTGGGGGAGAGGAGGGGCCCTGGGGACACTGGTCTGGCCCCGGGCATGGGTCCCGTGGCCAAACCCAAATTGAGGCCGGGGCCGGGGGTCGGGCGTCGTCTGGTCGGACAGACCTGGTCACTGGTGCCTGGTCCGTCAGCCACCAGCCCCACGGGGAGTCCTCTCCGTTACCAGAGGACAGAGGAGGGCACGAAAGCAGCCACACCGGGGGTCCCGTTCCTACAGAGCCGTCTCCGAGCGTCGCAGGACCGGCCTGTGGCTGGCTGGCACGGGAAGAGCTCGCAATGGGCGTCACATTGTTTGACCCTCCTGAGGCCCCAGCAGGGAGGCGGCCGGCACAGACCCGCCACCGGCATTTGTGGGGCTTGGGCCACGAGCGGAGGCCGGCGTCCGTGGCTCAGTGTAGCCACACCAGTGTTCCCGCGCAGGCCCATAGCTTGCCCCTGGGGTCACACGTGGGGCCGCGCGGGCGAGCCCGAGGCTGGTGGCACCCCCCCCCCCCC